AGTGAGAAGAAGCGAGCTGATCTAATATTATAAATATCCCAAAAGTCGTGCCAGCAGTGTTTTTCGCCTAGAGTGGACTTTTAACAAGTATATATTTTTCGGATGAATAAGAATATAACATTAAATTGCAATTAATCTGTACGTCACTGGCGAATTACTGCCATCTAGTGGACACGTTCCAAATGACAAAATGGCCTTAAATCATAGCAGTTTTATTAAGTTTACTATATGCCTATATGCTCTTTTGCTGTAAAAATATTGTGCTTTTCTTACCGATTTATTTCGTGACCTTTTCTTACTGACTAATTTTTTGATCTGTGTTTTTCAGACACATCTGAAGCGGAAAACACTCCCTCTTCAGAGGAACCATCCACTTCCTCAAGTAGCACTCCAGGACCTTCTGTGCCACCATCACCTCTGTCCGTACCTTCTGTGCCACCATCGCCTCGGCCAGTTCCATCGCCACCACCATCACCTCTGTCCACTACCACTCGAGAGGAACATCTACCATGTCGTCGACGCACAGGTAGTGTCTGACCATTCTAAAAATTGCTTTGTGCATAAACAAAACTGACAAGTTCACTGGACAACTGACATTTTGATATCCATATAAACACAAATGTAATTGTCAATGTTGTTGTTTCCAGGTGACCGAAGACGGCGATTGGAAGCACGGACACAGGTGATATTTGATGAGTTGCAGATCGCAGATGGCAGGCAGATGGACAGAATGGAAGGCATAAGCCGGGAGCAGGTTAACTGGATGCAACAAGACGCAGCAGCAGCAAGACAACATGAATTACAGATCGCAGAGCGATATTTTGAACATTTGGGTGCCCTAAATGCTGTTCTTGGACTGGTCGCACAAAGAATGGGCAGCTCCTCTGACTTCCTGCCACCACCCAGGCAGTAAGGTGCTATGTATTTGTCCCGTAATTTTTTTTATCCGTCTGTCCTTTTTATCAATAAATTTTCAAAGAAAAACAAGGTGTGCATGAATTGTCTTAAAAATTTTTGCTCGCAAATTTACGTTTACATAATAAATGTAGATTACATTACAGCCCACCTTAAATATATGTTAAAATGAAAAGGTGCAACAGTTCGTTAACAGTAAAATAGTGTACTTTATTAAGTTCTGAAAATAAAACAAACATTTCAGTTCAAACTACAGGCTTCGAACAGTTAAAAGTGTCAAAACAATAAACAAAGTAAATGGAAAGAAAAAACACAAACTGAGGTCAGCGGGTGAAGTGTCGCATCAGAGCTTCACGCACATCACTGCCCTCCTCTGCAACTTCCTGCATATTTGCAACCACTGGTTCATCAGCAGGTGCGTCACATTCTGTATATTCCTCCCCATGGCTCTCACAGATATTGTGAAGCACACAACAGGTCAGCACCATGTGTTTAAGAAGCTCTACATCACTGTCGTTTCTCTTCAGAAGACATCGCCACCTACCCTTTAGCCTCCCAAATGCATTTTCGACCACAACTCTGGCTCTGGACGTTTTCCTGTTGTACGCCTGTTGTTCAGCAGTGAGACGACCGTTGTCAGAAAATGGTTTTAGGAGCCAGTTCTGCAGAGGATAGGCAGAGTCCCCGAGCACATAAAAGCCTACATTTACTCCCTCAATGTTCTTGGTACTAGTTGGGTGCAGTTGTCCATGAGCAACCAAGTCCCAAAATGTGGACAATCGCAGCACACGGGCATCATGCAAGCTACCTGGCTGACCTGCATTAACATTCCAGAACATGCCTCTGCCATCCACAATGCCCTGGAGGATTATGGAATGCCAACCTTTCCTATTGAAGTAGTCTGTGTGGAATCCCTGTGGTGCGATTATTGGGATATGGGAACCATCGATGGCACCCACACACTGAGGAACCCCCCACCTGGTCTCAAAATAGTCAGCCATTTCCTGTAGCTTTTGCAGAGTTGGAAAAGCAATAACCTCGGCAAGCAAGAGTTTACAGACAGCCTTACAGAAGTCCTGCACACAGCGGCACACAGAGGTCGTGCTGACACCAAAAAGAAGCCCGATGCTCCTGTATTCACTGTTAGTTGCAAGCTTCCACAGTGCAATTGCAACTCTTTTCCTGAGTGGCACGCAGGCTCTGAAGTTGGTGTTCCTCTTCTGCATGGCTGGACGGAGCTTGGAACAAAGATATGAAAAGGTCTCTTCTGACATTCTGAAATGAGCTATCCAATCTGACGGAGTGAAGTTTGGCATGGTCACATCCCAGAAGGCGCTGGCACGGCTGAAGGCCCACACAGTTGGTTGCCGTCGCTGATTCAAAAGAGCCAACTAAAAAAAAAACAGTCATAACACAGTAAAAGTAAAAAGAATAGTGCTGTGAAAAAGATTGAAACAGTATGGTTATAGACATAAAGTTCACATCAATAGAATTTGTTTAAGGTTAAAATAACAGCTGTTCTTTATGGCACTACCAGTGACTGGTTATGTTTTGTTCACTTTATAAAATGCACAAATGTGGTATTGCTTGTAATTACCTATATAATTAATTATAATAATTTCAGTACAGCTGCACAACTTATCTATGACATGCCCAGGAAGTAAAGAGTGAAGGATTCAGGCCCTCCTGTTGACTAGCATCACCATGAGTGCAGAAGCAGTTTGAAACTTAGTTAGGTGTTGGCCTTTCATGTTTAGCATGTCTTAAATGACCAATATACAACCAAACCATTTGATTTTGGTGCTTTTTTTTTGTTTTTTTTTGTTTTTTGATAGTTGCCCTACACACCCCTTCAGAGATTATAACGACATGTATTACAGCATTAGAAGTTACTTACCACCTGGCGCCTCCGTCTTTGTCTCAACAGTAGAAAGTTATGCCTCGTGTCCGATATTAATTTCAGAAAGCGTCGTCGCCTTTCAGCTGCCCTCCTCCTCGATGCGCACAGCATAGCTCTAAACGCTATCGTGATGTGGGTGTAAAGAATATACCAAACACCAAGAACAGAAAGAACGCGCTGGTGACTGGACTCCATTGTTGTTGTGTTTTGGCGCGATCTCGTCGCGCTGTGTGACGTTAAGGCACACATCGCGCGTGACGCATTACGCTACCCCGCCTAGTTACTGGAGCCTGGAATGTGATAGAAACGCTTGCCAGAAAACTTCTAGACCCATACCGGTACATACCGGTCCATAATACCCAGACCTGACCGTCCCAGACCAGGCGATGGAAAAGAGCTTTTATATCCACTTTTCGTTTTCTTGACATGCTGCCTCCTGGCTGTGCCTAACTACCAAAGACTCACAAATGAACACTTATTCAAATGTTATGTAATGGAAGCTGAGCTGAGCTCTGATATTACACAGCGTCTAGTTGACGGTGACTCAGTACCGGTGTTCCCTAGCGGCTCCAAACTAGCAAAACAACGTGAGCACGTTCTGACTGTTTACAACTTGAGTGACAGCAGCAACAGCCAATAATACGTTAGCAAGTATCAGCAGAGCCAATAGATTAGCTTTTGGGCGGGTCTAATAGTAAAGCAGTTTCCGTTTCGGTCCTAGTGCTCAACCAAATCCATTTAATGGAGCGTAATATTGTTTTTGGACGGAAAAAAGTGCAGGGGACCAAAACTGCCTTTTGAAAAAGTGGGGGGGACATGTCCCACCCGTCCCCCCCAAAATTACGTCCCAGCACACACACACACACACACACACACACACACACACACACACACACACACACACACACACACACACACACACACACAGCCTGAAGTGCAGAATACAGAGTATCAGCAGGGGGACAGATTGAGACAGAACATCATGCATGTGTGACAGTGTGTGTCCTGTCACTGTGACCCGATTGATCATGCGCCCTGGCTACTTGGACAGGGTAGATCTCCGTTTGGCTGACTGGTTAGCGCGCCAGACTTTCACTCGGGAGTCGGAGGATTGACTCTCAATTGGACCATTTTTTTTATATCCGCCACAGATCTCTCTGAAGAACTCAGCATTGACGGCTTCAGCAACGCTGTGCCACTCCGTGGATTTTCTCTTATTTGTTTTGCAAAAGCACTTCCTTTCATTTCTCCACCTCACCCACAGGTACCTCAACTTCTGCTTGTGTGAAATAACACTTCCTAGATCTGTGGTCGTGATCGAATAGCTGCAACAGCCGGCTTGTGCATATGCATGAGGTCCACAAGGCACTTTGCATTGACTCTTTATGGCAGTAAGTGGGCGTGGTGAGGGTGGGATGTGACTAAAAAGCAGCTGAGAACCTTTCTAGATAGTCTCTGATTTATGAAGCGGAGATTGCATGCAGCTGTGCGTACTCCCTGTTTGACAGATCACAAACCTACTTGGCATAAACACATACTTTTTTTGCTGAGCTTAAGTACGGTTTTAGTAAGGATTCTAGGCAATGTTTGATAAATGAGACCCCTGGCCTGTAATGGAATGTTTTATTATGTGAAGTGCCTCATGATTTTTATCTTGAGAGGCGCTGTAGAAAATATCTTTTCTTCTTTCTTCTTCTTGAGACAACTCTTTTCGTGATTTGGCGCTACATAAATAAACTTGAATTGAATTGAATTTATGTGAAAGAGACTTTATTTAAATAATTTCAAGAACATGTTTTGTATCGACAATAGAACTAATATAACTTCAAATAAAAGTTTTCATAAATCCACTTTAATAAAATAAATGAGTTCAGAGTGAGCCATACGTAGTGCATTTCGGTGGTAACACCCAGCTGCAGCCAAGAGGGGTCTTCCTGTTTTCCAAACGATCGCGTGCCAGTAACTGCATTTATGTGCAGATGTCCTGAGCTCAACCACATACACATAACTAGAAGCGAAAGCTGTTCAATCAAGAGATGTTAATAGCATCATTACCACAATACCTTGTCCTTGTGCACAATGCTGTAACAGCTGAGTCTAGAAGCAGGAGAAATAACCCTGCTGCGCTGCTAATAGTGTTAAAATGCTTTGAGAAGTTAAGGATTTGTTTGCTTTTGTGTATCAGATCATGCTGGTTGAAGGAGTCATTTACTGCCTGCAGTCCCGACTGAAAGTCCGCAAAGCTGAAGGCAGCATCAATGCAGGAGGCTGCAGCTTCAACTCCTTCCTGAGAAGGACGGTTCGCTTTGTAGGTACGATTCTGTCGGCTGCACATGACAGGCCTGTTGATTTATCTGTGAATTGGTCCCTGTCTCTCTCTGAAGGTGTGCACATGTTTGGACTGTGCGCGACGGCACTGCTGACTGACATCATCCAGCTGTCGACAGGTTACCATGCTCCATTCTTCCTCACGGTTTGTAAACCCAACTATACTCTGGCCGGTGTGTCATGTGATCAGAATGCTTATGTCACCAAAGACATTTGCTCAGGACACAATCAGCATGCCATCATGGCTGCTAGGTGTGTACCTCATTTCCTAGTTGTGTTGAGAATAGCACCTTATTACTGATTTTTTAGGTTATGTACGTTTGGTTTGATTCATTTGTTTTGTGGCAGGAGGACGTTTCCATCTCAGCATGCAACTCTGTCAGCCTTTGCTGCTGTTTATGTGTCTGTAAGTATTACATTTTTTTCAACAACTTTTTATTTTGTTCTGTAGTGAACAGAATTGTTTTCCAGAAACAGGTTATAAATGTCTGGCAGTCCTTTTCAGTTTGATTAACTAATGTTGCTGAAGTTAGCAAAATCCCTTTTAAAGTTTTAGTTAAGAGTTTCTTTTATTTCCATCTGTGAGCAGAGGTCGCAGTTCTCTGTGCTGAAATGTGAGTTATCAAAGTGGGAAGAGTCCAGGTTCAGGTTCAGGTCCAGGCTAAGCTTTAGAGTTATATATATTTTATTAACCTCCAGCAAGAAATGCCTTGCTTACAGTGGTCCTTTAGAAATGTAAAAATCATCTATCCATTGTCATCCACTTATCCAAAGTTGAGTTGTGGAGGCAGTAGCCTAAGCATAGACGCACAAACTTCCCTCACCTCAGCCATTTGGGCCAGCAATTATTACAGAAACAGCTGCTTTATGCAAGACAGTGTTGGTACTGGTCAGAGCTGGGGTCTCATTTATAAAACATAGCGTAGAATCCTTACTTAAACCGTACATAAGCTCAGCAAAAAAATGTACTTACTTGTAGGTTTGTGATCTATCAAACATGGAGTACGCACAGCTTCACGCAATCTCCACTTTATAAATCAGAGACTAACTAGAAAGGTCCTCAGCTGCTTTTTAGTCACATCCTGCCCTCAACCTCAACACACCCACTTTCTGCCATAAATGGTCAATGCAGTGCCTTGTGGATCTCATGCGTATACATAAGCCGGCTGTTGCAGCGCTCCGCCAAAGACATGGAGACCGTAGATCAAGGAAGCGCTATTTCACAAGCAGAAATTCAGGTACCTGTGGGTGAGGTGGAGAAGAAGAAGAAGAAGAAAATATCATTTCTATAGCGCCTCTCAAGATAACAATCATGAGGCACTTCACAAAACAAAAACAAAAAAAAGTACAAATATAAAAAAGCATTTAGAAAATGTTTAAAAATATATTTAAAATGAGCAAAAATAAGCAATTGCGATTTAAAAGAAAAAATGTAAAGAAAGAGAGAGAGTGAACAGGATAGAGGGAAATCAGTGGATCCCGAGGAAGGTGGAATAGGTGGGGAGAGCAGAATAAAGAGAGAGTGGTGAAGAAGGTCATACAAAAGCCAGCTTGAACAAGTGAGTCTTCAGCTGCTTTTTAAAGGAGACCACTGAGTCCACTGATCTCAGGCTCAGGGGGAGAGAGGCCCAGAGTCTGGGGGCCACAGCAGCAGATGATCTGTCACCTTTGGTCTTTAGCCTGGTGCTGCACAACCAGTAGGCTTTGATCACTGGACCTCAGGGACCTGCTGGGGGTGTAGGGACTAAGAAGATCACCAATGTAAGATGGTGCTTGTCCATGTAAGGCCCTATAGACCAGAACCAGGATCTTGAAATGAACCCTGAAGTTGACTGGCAGCCAGTGAAGCTGGAGGAGAAGCGGGGTGATGTGGGTGTGTTTGGAGGACTTGGTCAGGAGCCGAGCACAGGCATTCTGAACCACCTGTAGACGGTTCAGGGAGGTTCTGCTCAGACACGTGAAAAGAGAGTTACAGTAGTCTAAGCGTGAGGAGATGAAGGTGTGGAGAACTGTCTCAAGTTCAGAGCGGGACAGAATGGGACTCAGCTTAGCAATGTTCCTGAGATGGAAGGCTGCTGAGAAATGAAAGGAAGTGCTTTTGCAAAACAAATAAGAGAAAATCCACGGAGTGGCACAGCATTGCTGAAGCCGTCAATGCTGAGTTCTGCAGAGAGATCTGTGGCGGATATAAAAAAATGGTCCAATCAGGATTTGATCCCCTGACTCCCGGGTGAGAGTCATGCACGCTAACCAGTCACCCAAAGACACATCTGCCCTGGCCAAGTAGCCAGGGTGCATGATCAATCGGGTCACAGTGACACACACTGTCACAGACGCATGATGTTCTGTCTCAATCTGTCCCCCTGCTGATATTCTGCATTCTGTATTCTGCACTTCAGGCTCTGTGTGTGTGTGTGTGTGTGTGCGTGCATGTGCGTGTGCATGTGGGGGGTCTTGTTCTGTGTGAAAACGAAGCGGTACAAGTGATAATGCTGCAGGATTTTATAATTTTATCCTTCTCAGCAGCAGCACTGCAGGTGCTCTCCATGTCCAAAACGTGCATAAGCCAGGTCCTTAGTCAACTTAAAGTTACACACATTTTTCCACTAAGTTTTCTTTCAAAAATCCCAAAGTTTGCTTGGAAATTTGTTTACGCAGTTTTGCGACCCCGTTTTGTGCGTAAGCAAGCTTGATAAATGAGGCCCCTGGTGTTTACAGGTCTTTACTTTACAGTAATCAATATTACTAGTAATAAAAGTGTGCATCAGCATCTCCGTATTGGCCCGAGAGAGAAAGGGGCAGACTCTGGCTATGTTAATTTGGTGATAAAAGACAATTTTTGAAGTATTCTCAATGTGGGGGATAAAAGTTAGCTCTGAGTCAAAGATCACACTCAAAGTTCTTCACTTGAGAAGAAGGTTTAAAAATTAGTGACTGTAGCTTTGGTAAATGTTTCTCCCTCTGAACTGTAATGATGGGTATTTATATTCCACTTTTGCCTCTTTCTCTCTTTTTCTACAGATGTACTTTAATTCAACCATCTCTGACAGCACTAAGCTGCTGAAACCTGTCCTGGTGTTTGCATTTGCCATTGTGGCGGTGCTGACGGGTTTAACCCAGATCACACAATATCGCAGCCATCCTGTTGATGTCTATGTGGGCTTCCTCATTGGAGCTTTCATCGCTGCATACCTGGTGAGATCTGATAACACTCACCTCTCAGTTCACATTAATCATACATTTATTTGCCCATAGAAGAAGAAGCAGAAGGCTTGTGGTTAAAGGGAGCTAACATTTCAAAACAAATACATTTCTTTTTGTTTTGCTCCAATCATGTCATTTAACTGTCTATCTTCTGTCATTGGGACTGTATCAGAATGAATCTGTAAATGAAAGAGAAGTTAGTGTTGGAACAACCAGTGATGTTCTAGGTCAGTAGTTAACCTCTTGAACCCAGGCCATTTTTCAGAGATTTTTGAAAAAGATGTACCCAAAGTGAATCAAGTATATCTCATAAACTACAAGGTTTATTTGAGCTGTTTTGATATCAAAATAAAGGTAAGAATCTAAAGTTTACTCTAAAATTCTAAAAAGCATAACTTATGTCACGGACTGAGAGTAACAGGCTCTGGAACACAGCAGAAATGAGAAAAAAATCAGTTCCGTCTAAAAAAAAACTGTTCCTCCAGCCTATTAACCACAACATGAGGCTGGATTGTATTGAAAGCGGACGAGAAGTCCACAAAGAGGAGTCGGGCATGAGTTCCTACTAGGTCCAGATGATGAAAAAGCATATCCAACAGAGCGACCGTTGCATCCTCCATCCCCCTTCCAGCCTGATATGCAAACTGTAGAGGATCCAACAGTCGCTGTGTCTGCTTTAAAAGCTCGCATCTAACCAGCTTTTCAAAGATTTTCATTAAAATTGAAGTTAGAGGAACAGGGCGGAAATCGTTTAAAATACCTGGATGTCTCACCTTAGGAATCGGTACAATTTCTGCATCCTTCCATAGTTTAGGGAACTGTAAAGATTCATTGAAAATGTGGTGCAGTATAGGTGTCAGCTGGTATGCACAGAATTTAAGTAAGCGGCCACAAATGTCATCTGGTCCTCGGCTCTTGTTTACTCTAACTGTCCTGATAGTCCTACCTATGTCCTCCATCTCAGCTTTAAAATGCTCACTATCCTTACATTTCTCCCTCAGGATTTCCCGTTCCCCACTGAAATCCAGAACGTCAAACCGACAATAAAAACTATTCAGGGCATTAGATAGTTCCTTGTCAGTGTTAAATGGGTCTAGACAGATGGCTGTGTAATGTGCCTCAGAGCCATGTCCTGCAATAATTTTCATACTAGTCCATGCCAAACCAAGTTTTTTTGCTGCCATTTTGTTCTCCAGTTGTCTTCTATAATGATGTTTAGCCTTTGTAATTTCTCTTTTTGACAGTATGTTAGCCCTCTGTAACTCAGCCACTGACCCCTGTTTAAAAGCCTCATTTTTCTCCTTTATACATAATCTTACTGCTTTTGTGACCCATGGTTTGTTGTTTGGATATATCCTGACACATTTGTGGGGAATTATCATATCTCGACAAAAGGCCATATATGAGCAGTGTTGAGGGTCTGCCCTCATGAGGAAATTACTATGCAGTAATTTCTCCAAAAGACTGTCATCTGCGCTCTGAAAAAGCAGATATTAAAATTCAGCGCCAGCTACAACTTCATGTCCCATAAGCCTTTGCATGCGGAAGCAGCGTGATGACGTCACCAAAGCGGAGCTGAAAGTTCTGCGCATGTGCTGAACTCCCAGGGTCCCGCCCGCATGTGTGTGCTGAAGATCTGAAGCGCGGAGAAAACTTTCTCTTTGTTCCAGCTTCAGCTGGTGTTTGAAGAGTCGCTCATTCTGCTAAGGCTGCCGGACGACAAGAGGCCAAGCCGCGGAAAAGCAGCGGAAAACCATCAAATCAACAGAGAACGCCGATTGAAAACTGAGGGCCCCTTCGCTGTTTCGTTCGTTCAAAGTTTTTTTCTCTCTCACTTTCTCTCCCGTTCTCTCTAATAAGTCCAGAATAAGCAATCACACAGCACAATTTGCTTTAAGGTACCAACGGCTTTCTCTATCTCCGTACCAAAATATGCCCATCGGATCGTTTTAAGAGTAAGCCGTTTGTTTTTGTCATTGTCTAATATCTAAAGTTTTATGCTGTGGCCATGCTGACAAACTATCAGATATTTCATTTATGATTGATCTTTTGTGTTGTTTATTGATCTTTGTGAAGCGGTTTTGAAGTTTTAAGTTTTACTGTGATTGAGTTAAGGTGAAAGCTAAACCTTTGTGTCTGTATCTGAGAAGAAAAGTCACACACACACACACACACACACACACACACCACCCCTCCCCTTTTGGTTCTCAGTGTGTGAGTGTGTGTGTACTTGAGAGGACAGGCTGAAGAAAATTCACACACACACACACACACACACACACACACACACACACGCACGCACGCACGCACACACACGCACACGCACACGCACACACACACAGACACACACACACACACACACACACTTCCGGTCTGCTACCGTGCACAATTCAAAATCCTCGTCTTTGTTTACAATTTCTTCCAGGGTGGTGCTCCCCCCTATCTGGCCACTCTCCTGAACAGACATTCCCCATCACGCGCTCTGCGCTCCTCTGACCAAGGCCTGCTCGCTGTCCCTCATTCTAGGTGTCGTACTCGCGGGGACCGGGCTTTCTCAGTCCTAGCACCGTCACTGGAACCAGTTGCCACCCTCAGTTAGGCTGTCCCCATCTCTGCCAGTCTTCAAGAGTCGCCTAAAAACCCACCTCCTCCGCTTGGCGTTTCCTGAACATGTTTGATTCGGCCCTCTTTTACGTTGAATTTCTTTCACAGTTCTCATTGGTTGTGTTTTACTGCTTGCTTGTTTTACCCATCTGTCCTGTACTAGAATGTTTCACCTTTTTTGTAATTTGTATTTTGTAATTTGAATTGCTTTTATTTTTGAATTACTTTTATTTTCGATTTATTCACTATATTTGTACATCTACTGTACCATGTTCAGCGCCTTGGGCTTCCTGACAGGGTTGCGGAAGGCGCTTTATAAATAAAGCTTTGATTGATTTGATTTGATTGAGGTTAAACCGGGAGAAAAACAGGGACCATCGTGACTGGCGGGAATTGAGACGTTTGGCTGATTGCAGATATGACAGGTTTTTATGATCTGTCCATACCAAAACCGGGTGTGTGGAGCCCTCCAACCAATGACGCCATTCCTCCAAAGCAATTTTAATGGCAAGTAGTTCTTGGTCTCCAACGTCATAGTTCCTTTCAGCTGGGCTCAACCTGCGAGAATAGAAGGCACAGGGATGCAACTTTCCATCATGCACTGACCTTTGAGATAACACGGCACCTGCTCCGGTATCAGATGCGTCAACTTCCAGGATGAATTGCTTTTGAGGATCAGGTTGAATCAAGATGGGGGCAGAGACAAACAGGTTTTTGAGAACTGTGAAGGCGTGGTTGGCCTCAAGGGTCCATTCAAACTTGCTCTTGGTGGAGGTAAGGGCAGTTAATGGAGATGCAGTTTGGCTGTAATTCTTTATGAAGCGGCGGTAAAAGTTAGCAAACCCTAGGAAGCGTTGGAGCTGTTTTCGGTTTTCCGGGGTGGGCCAGTTTAGGACAGCTTTAATCTTGTCTGGGTCTGTGCGCACCTGTCCACCCTCAAATATGTATCCTAGGAATGTTATGGATGACCGATGAAACTCGCTTTTTTCAGCCTTAACATAGAGGCGGTTTTCGAGGAGACGCTGGAGAACCATGTGGACGTGTTTGTGGTGTTCAGCTAGGGTATCAGAGAAGATCAGGATATCGTCTAGATAGACAAAAACAAACCGGTTAATGAAATCACAGAGAACATCGTTTATCATGGCTTGGAATACGGCGGGGGCGTTAGTGAGTCCGAAGGGCATAACTAGGTATTCATAATGACCAAGAGGTGTCTGAAAGGCAGTTTTCCATTCGTCACCCTGACGTATGAGGACGAGATGATAAGCATTCCGAAGATCCAGTTTGGTAAATATAGTAGCATTCTGCATAAGATCAAAGATGGAGGAAATGAGAGGAAGAGGATATTTGCTTCTCACCAAGATCTGGTTCAGTCCACGATAATCAATGCAGGGCCTCAGGGAACCATCTTTTTTGGATACAAAGAAAAATCCAGCACCAAGGGGAGAAGAGGATGGACGAATCAGACCTGCAGACAGGGATTCTTTGATATAGGTCTCCATGGCTTCTCTTTCCGGTCAGGAGATGTTATATAGTCGGCTGGAGGGCAGGAGAGCTCCAGGCAGGTCTATGGCACAGTCATATGGTCTGTGAGGGGGTAAACAGGAGGCTTTGTGCTTATTAAATACCTGGGTCAGATCGTGATAGATATCTGGGACATGAGATAGGTCAGAGGTCTCAACTTCTGTCTGGCTGATGGGAGCAGAGCTTGGGAGCAAGGCTGATTGGAGACAGGAGGAGTGGCAGAATGAGGACCAAGAATCGACACGGAGATTGTGCCAATTTAGCGAGGGGTTGTGTCTCTGCAGCCAGTTGAATCCTAGAACAATAGGAGACTGTTTAATAGGGAAAAGCAAGAAGGACAGGGTTTCCACATGATTACCAGATATAATGTTTAACAGGTTCTGTTTTGTGTGTGATGAGGGGGAAAGGGTTGCCGTCCAAGGCAGAAACACGGATAGGAGAAGATAATGGAACAGTTTTGAAAGTTGGTATCGATGAGGTTTTGTTCACAACCGGAGTCTATGAGTGCAGACAGAGTGAAGGAGTCGTCGGAGCTGAGTAGGGTGGCTGGAAGGAGGAGTCGGGGTTGATTCTGTAGGTAGAGGTGGTCCGACAGTGTCCCCTTGTCTACTGTCGAACCCTCTCTTTTGGGCGAATGGAACATGAAGAGATGAAATGGCCGGAGGAGCCACAGTAAAGACACTGGTTGGCTTGGATTCGTCGCTGTCGCTCCTCCTGTGTCAAGTGGGTATGACCCAGCTGCATGGGTTCAGTTTCAACAGGATGAGAGCGAAGAGGAGGAGATGTGTTGAGGCTGGATCCAGAGGTTGTAGAGTAGGTGCTTGGTTGGAGTGTGGTTTTCTGGATTTTGTCTCTTACTTTAT